GGCCAGCCGCCCCTTCACCGGCGACTGTCACCGGCGACCGTACGGTCGTCGGAAAACCTTTTTTTTTAATAGTTTGGAACTTTTTCCAAAAAATAAATAGTTGAAACTCTTCCATGATGACCCTCTTGCGTTAGGAGAATAATAATTACATATTGATTCTTATTTTACAATTGATCTAATCAAAATAAAATAACAAAAACTAATTCCATTGAACCGGAAAAATTTACGACCAATCAATTCGCATAAAACATAACCATCACACACTAATTATACATCATGTGCATAAGTGCCTACCCATTATACATCCAAGAATTATCACATAATTAAACGTTAAATTAGCATGAAATAAAGACCGTTCTGATACTAATTGTTGGTTTCTCAAACCGGATTTTCAAAAAAAAAATTGTGCGGAAGCGTGGTATCGATCGAATCACATAAATCAAAATTTAATGCGATCATTATTTCATGTTAATTTAACTACAAAGATATTAAAGAAAGGAATGAGGATTTGACCGTCGTTCGATTATGACGTAAATCTTGAACTCCTCCAACACCGTCTTGAGCTCTTAAATTCCAAGAACACCACAGTTCTTTCTCAATATATCTCCGGATTAACGTGAACTCGAACGTGTGGGCGTTCTAATGAGTTTCTCAACACATGAGATGGATGAATAGGGAAGCCACCAATAATTATCACTCACTTTTCTCAAAAATATGTGATAGTACTCAAAAAATTTTCTTTAATTTTTCTTTTGTTCTCCCGTTTTTCCTTTTCTCCAAAAAAAACTTTTGTTTTTTTTTCTGTGCGGCAGAACCTTTTCGTTTTTCTTTCTCAAGGAAAAACTGTCACCTCCGAAGACACCATTCCTCTTTGTCTATTATCTTTTAAAATGTGCACCCGCACATCTAACTTTGAGGAAACGTGCAACAGCACGTTTCCTCCCACTGTTTCATTTTTTTTAATGAGGAAACGTGTTGCTGCACGTTTCCTCTTATATATATATGTATTAATAATGAGAGAGAGTGGAAAAAAAACGTGGAGAGAAAATTCCCTTTTTTTATTATAAAAAATAACTAAATTCATCCACATTAATTTAAAACAATTTTAAATTAATTTTAATATTAATTAATTAAATTAATTAATATATGTATATTTAGAATTCTTAATTCTAAATTAATAATTATAACTCAATATGATATATTCAGTTCACATTAATCTTATGGAGCCATTAAGAGGAACTATGGACATTATTATTTTAAGCTCTAATAATTTTGATAATTAATTAACACCTTAATTAATATATCAAAATTATTAATTCCAAATTACTCCACTATAAATTTGGAATTGCACTGTCAAAATAATAAAACAATTATGTTCACGAAATTTGTGTTGTTCATTGATATAGTCACTACATACGAATTAATCCTCCATAAACGGTTCATAATTAAAGCTAAGTATTTTTCGTTAACCTCTTTAATTATATCTTTCTCCATAAGTACCATTGATCCTCTAATAAATAATATATTTTATGATCCAATCATAAAATTGAGCGCTCTTATTATTCAAGTTCCGAATCAACACTTATGGAAACCGTCCATCTACTTCATTATAAAGGAATGGATTTCATCTTATAAATTAATATTCCCGGCTATTTATTTTACTATGCTCCCAATATGCAAAGACTTTGACACTATTCACATGTGTCATTACTCAATATGTCAAAGAACATAATATCATAAATAAAAGTTTATTAATTACTCAGAATTAAGATTAATACATATATGACCATCATTGATTAATATTGAATACTCTATTTAATAACAGAATTTATTAGAGATTCATAATTAATCGCGTTCCGGTCCTATGTAATCATATTACATAAAATGCTTTCATTCCAATAATCTCATTATTAACAATCTAGGATAAGATTGTTTCATTCAGAATGTAATGAACCGCATTAGTAATTTTAAATTAAAGATCCTAACTTTAATTTATAATTACGGATAAGTTTAGATTATTTTATTTCAAACATTATCCTCTGCATATAACAATTATATACAATGTTTAAAGTTATATCAAAAAATAATCTAAGGATTTTGATATTTATAAAGCATCACATGTATGCAAAATAATATTGAAAAATTCCTCATTTCATTAATAATCAGTAAAATATTTACATTTTATTTGATTTATGGGCATATATCCCAACAAAACCATCAAACTTTTTTGGTAGATTGGATTAAATGGCAAGAAAATCGACCCAATACAAAACTAACTACATTTTGATGGGATTCAGAAGCCTGATCCGCTCGAGTTCTTATACAGTTTTAAGAAATGCTCGTTCATAATCCAACATTAACACAAAAACAGAACAATTTCCCACAACCTTTTTCTCTCCATCCAAACAGAAGGTGTAAATCAAAATCCAGATGCCAAAATTCAAACAAAACGAAACAAACCCAAAAAAAAAAAGAAGCAAGACACAAAGCTCAAAACAACCGGATCAATAACCCAAAAACAAAAAGTTGCGCCAAGCTAATATGAGGCATAAAAAAAAGAAATTTGAATTGATTGGGATCTGGGTATGAAAGAATTTGAAAATTACCTGATAAGTGTTGTCGAATTTGTCGTACATGAAGCGGGTGATGATGTTGGTTTTGCCGACGGACTGGTCACCCAAGAAGACGAGCTTGTACTTTGCGAGGGCCGAGACTGGAGCCATTTTTGTTGGATTAGAAACAAAGAAAGAAAAAAAAAGAATAGGGAAATTATTGGATCTGAGAAACCCAGAAACAAACCAAATCAACATTCAAAAAAAAGCTCAATCGAGTACTTATAGATGCGAAGATGGTGTGCTCCAACTAGATCCGGTGTCACCCAGCTACGAAATCTAGAAACCCTAACACGAGCAAACCACCAACACTGAGAGAACATAGAGAGAGCTGTGAGAGCAAGGCTGCGGCTGAGAGAGGGCTGAGGCTGAGAGAGAGAGAGTTCGGTTTTAGAGATGGCGAAGGAGTAGAAAGTGAATGAGGGGGCTGAGAATTTTTTTGATTCAGCAGGGGTATTTTCGGTATAACAAAAATTTCATTAATGCCTCAGAGTGGATTTCTGCACAATCTAAAATTAGAAGCAGCAAGTGAGCTGCTTCTGATTTCAACCCAAAATAACTTTTAAATTCTTTAAGAATCGGTGTTTTAAATGTTTATCAAACACCTAAAACAACTTTAGCTGCCTAAAAATTGATTTTGACCTCCCAAAATCTCTACCAAACTCAGCAGCTCACTTATTGCTTCTGATTTCAGATTGTGCGAGAATCTCATAAATTTCATTAATGAAATTTTGGTTATTCCCAAAATAACCCTGAACCAATCTTTCTGAAACTCTCTTCGTGCTCTCTTGAAACTCTCAGCCTCAGCCTCCTCTCCTGAAACTCTCAGCCTCCTCTCGTGCTCTCTCGCCTTAGCCTTCGCTCTCTCAGCCTTAGCCTTCGCTCTCTCAGCCAAAGCTCTCTCCCTCCGTTTATCTTTCTTCTCTCTCTCGGACTCCCTCTCTCCGTTTATCTCCTGCGATTGTCGGCGGCGGAGTCCCCAAGTCCGGCGGAGCCATTTCCAAGGGCTATAACTTCGCTTCTCACTGGGAACAGGTCTCCATAGCTTAACCTTCATCATCATCTTCTTCTTCCTCTTTCTCTGTGGTTAATTCGAACACAACCGACAACGAAAGCTAAAACCAGATCTAGCATATTCGGATCTCAATTCATCAATTTTAAGTCTTGTCGATTGAATTAATCTCTGTTTTCATGTAGAATTTGGTTATTGTTAGTAGTATCAGCGAGGCTCAGATCGGATTGGCATCAGATCTGTGCACATATTTTCCTTTTTTTTGTTCTCATGGAAATTGTTTATTGGCTCCGCAGAATGCTCCTTTGACAGAGCAACAGCAAGCCGCCATTGTGACTCTCTCTCATGCCGTCGCCGATCGGCCGTTTCCTCTCAATTTGGTGTGATTTTCTGCTACTTGCTTTACTCGTTTAGTTTGTTCAGGAAGATTTTCGTGTAGTAGTTGATTTGACCTCGAGATTCTGTCAAATTTTAGGCCAAAGACCGTGCCTCCGGGCAGGAGAATGGCTTGTCCGTTTCCACGAAGGAGAACGCCTCGGGCTTCGAACACTCTGGAGCTGCAGAAGCCGTTCTCGTCAATACAAATCAGGTGAGTTTTCGGATTTGTAAATCTAATCACTATCTG